CTTGTTAATAATCAGCCATTGGTATCAGCCCAAAAAATCTTTACTAGTGCACCCCTAGTTTAAGTGCACTAATTTACTCTGCCATTGGATAGTACCCATGTCTGATGGGACTATCCTTCACCAGCGTAAATGTAATTAATCTACTGTGTCCTAATTGTGGAGCACGTGTAGGAAGTGACACTTTACAGGACAGTTAGTCTACTGCACAGTGAAGTATACATGTAGAAGTGCCCAGCAATAGCTAGTTTTCACTCTATATGAGAACCAGCCAGAATCAGAAGACCAATTAACTTTTTTAATAGGTTGTAGAGGCATCTGATAACAACAAAGGAGTGGTGGCTGAGAAATACTAGGTTCAATTCTAGGTTCTAAAGGACTTTGCATGCTTATGACACCACCTTTTTGCCTGATCTCTACAAATGTGCCATTTCTCTGATCTATCCCATTCCCCGTGTCAATTTGCCCTTCCTAAAACATTTCTCCCCTCACTGTTCCTGTCCTGCTCTTGTTCCCTTCTGAATTCAAACCCAGCACTTCCTCTCCCTTGTAAGGGAGCATCAGGCATCAGGAGCATAAGAATCCTGGCATCAGGAGCATAAGAATCCTCAGTCCTCTGAGTTGTGGTGTCTGACCTAACAACAACTGGAAACAGGGGAAAAAAATATGCTCTTTGCAACCAGAGCCTTGAAAGAATTATTTGCAACAGACATGTGTCTGAACGTCTACAAATTTGATTTCTAAAGGCTTGCAAAAAAAATTGTTTCAAAAGAAAAGTAATAGCAAAGAGCAGAGTCTTGATGTCAGAGCCAAACTTCAAGTCTCTGCTGCAAAACCTGGAAATGCTTGAGTTGACAGAATCATGGGGTTGGAAGGGATGACTTCATCTACAGCCTTCTAGTCAGGTGCACGTTTAAAAAGAATGAATCAGTTTAAGATGGCACCTATCTAGCCTCATGAAAAACTGCAGTGAAGGATATCCCACAGCTTCCTTTACTGTCCTTATAATTAGGAAGACTTTTTTCTGCTGAGAATTCCACCCACCCCACTTTCCTGTATTATGAGCCCATACGTGTGTACACACACACACACACGTGTGTCTTAGTCATTTGGGTGTGTAAATCTCAAAGTCAATAGATGTGAACCACTTAAGTCATTAAAGGCGTGAAAAATGGAACTTAGGTGATTTTAAAAGCTTATCCAACATGCATATCCTACTTTTAAGAATACTGCTTTGACAATACAAACAAAATTGTAAATTAAAGCAGTTCCACCACTGGATCATCTATTCCTTGGATGATCAAAGCGAACTGGAAGACAGCTGCCTCTGCATCTTAAACAGATTTCAGTATGCATAACAATTTTATATTATCTTACCTCCGCTGGTTTCTGGTGGATACTTGCCATCCAACAAGTCTGTATCTTTGAAGTCTCCTATAAGAAAATGTTAGAATTTCATTTTTAATCCTTACAGCAGATTCCATATTTTAATGGTTAACATTTTCACCTGGGTATCATCTTTCAGCTTATTTGCAAGTTTGGTCAGAATGGCACTGTAAGGACCTTAAACATTATTTTGAAAATGGTAAATAATCAGGGACACAATAAAGTCAAGTGGAGTAAGTGTGCTCTTGAAATACAGAGGAACTAGAATTATAGGAAAGTAACTTGCTTTTCAATTTTCATGAGTAAAGATCACCTAATTTCTTTTCCAAACATCTTAATCATTTTCCAGGCTATCCATGTTCCACAGTTTGGAAACTATATAGTATAGTAGGGGTGTCAAAGATATGGCCTGAGTCAAATCCAGCCTGCATAGCCCCATCATCCAGACCCTCATACCACCCTTGGTCTTGAGTTGACCCACACACTGCTTCTCCTGGCTGGTCTGGAACTTATGCCACCTGCTCCAGCCAGTCCAGGGCCTGTGCTGCACACTGTGTCTGCCCTGACCAGTCTAGGATGGGTGCCCCATGCAGCATAGGTTTCAGACTGCCTTGGGTGGGTGCTGTATGCACTGGATCTGACATGCAGGAGTGGTCCATAGGCCCAAGGAGGGCAGCCTCGCAGCATTCATATAGCCAGCCAACAGGGCCAGATGAGTTCAAGGTGCTAACTGTGTGACTATTAACCAGCTCACTGAAACTTTTTATTTGGTAGATCCACAGCAAAATATAGTACAGACAGATCCCAAACACTGTGTTCATTCTGCTAGAGGGAAGAGACCCATAATGAAAAACAAAAAACTAAGGCGGCAACTGAAAACAGATTTGCTCTCTCTTTTAATGTGCCTCAGGTTCCAGTCAAATGTATTTGTTCAGTAGAAATGATTTTTTTTTCTGAGATGTAAACTACAGAAGCCAGCTGAAAATATATCCTGTTTCACTCTGACTTTAAAGTATTTCTAGAAAGAGAGAAAATGCATGCAAAACATATGTACATCTCCCAGAAATGGGACTGTAGGGGGGCGATCAGGAAGGCCAAGGTGGAGATGGAACTGGGACTAGCTACCCGGATCAAGGACAAGAAGAAGTCCTTTTTTAAATACATAGGGGGTAAAAAGAAGGTACTGGGTAATGTGTGGCCTCTTTGGGACACCCTAAGAAACCAGGTCATCACACCAGACAGCAAAGCTAATCTATTTAACAATTTCTTTGCTTCCATTTTTCTGAGAAGGGACCCGGTCATCCCCCCTCACCAGGACCCTCGCAGGTCCCAGGGGAGGTGCACCCAGGCCTAGGGTCAGAGAGGACCTAGTCAGGGAACTTCTGGAGGGACTAGACATATTTAAATCAGCAGGTCCTGACGATCTCCATCCCAGAGTGCTGAGGGAATTAGCAGAGGTCATTGCTGGACCCCTGGCGTGGCTTTACGGGCACTCATGGTGCTCTGGGTGTTGTGCCAGAGGACTGGAAAAGGGCCAATGTGGTTCCCATTTTCAAAAAAATGAGGAAGGAGGACCCAGGAAACTATAGGCTAGTTAGTCTTACCTCGGCCCTGGGTAAGCTTTTTGAGAGAATTATCCTGGAGCATGTCTGTGAGGGGCCAGCAGGGGAGATTATGCTTAGGGGCAACCAACACAGGTTCATTAGAGGCAGGTCCTGTCAGACCAACCTGGTGGCTTTCTATGCCCAGGTCACAAAATCCTTGGACGCAGGTGTTGCAGTGGACAGAGTCTTCCTGGACATTAGGAAGGCCTTTGACACCGTCTCTCACTCCATTCTCATTAAAAAACTAGGAGACTGCGGCATTGACATCTGCACAGTCAGATGGGTCACTGGCTGGAGGGCTGCTCCCAGAGAGTGTTGGTGGATGGGTCATTTTTGACCTGGAGGGATGTGGGCAGTGGGGTCCCCCAGGGCTCAGTCCTCGGGCCTGCACTGTTCAACATCTTCATCAGCAACTTGGACGAGGGGGCAAAAAGCACCCTGTTCAAATTTGCAGATCATACTAATATGTGGGGAGAAGTGGGCACGCTAGAAGGGAGGAATACGATGAGGAAAACTCCTACGATGGTGTCGACACGGAGTGCTGCCAGGGCCCCTGCCCGGGGGGGGCAGCTTTCCCGGGGCTTGTCTGATGCCTCCACCCAGACAGAGCCCATGGGGGGGCTGGCATCCCCCACCCCCTGGCCTGCAGGAGTTGCCCAGCAAGGCCTGGGGGGGCAGGGATTGGGGACCCCCACACCTGTCCTGCAGGTGCCCGCCTTAGGGTCCTGGAGGTGCAGGTGAGGGAGCTCCAGGAGGAGGTTAGCACGCTGAGGGAAATCAGGGAGGTAGAGGAAGAAATTGACAGCTATTTCCTTTCCCTGCAAGGTCACGCATCCAAGGAAGAAGCACTCCAGGAGGTGCCCTCCACTGTGGAGTGGCAGACAGTCACCTCCAGAACTAGGGCTGCTCGTAACACAGGAGTACCAGTTCCTACAGTCCAGCTAGAGAGCAGGTACAAGGCCCTGGCAACTCTGGAGGAGAAGGAAGGAGAGGAAGCAACTCCATGCTCTCCATGTTCTGAGTAGGCCGAAGGAGCTAAGCAGGCCAGGAGGAAAAAGCGTCAAGTGATCATCATAGGCGACT